CAAGCAAGAGGAACCCAAAGAAGCCCACCTCAATACACATCATAATTAAAATAACAAAATTAGAAGACAGAGAATCTTAAAGGCAGCAAGGGAGAAACAGGGAGTAACATACAAGGGAGCCGCAATAAGACTACCAACTGTCTTCTCAATGGAAGCAATCCAAGCCAGAAGACAATGTTAAGAAATATTCCAAGTAATGAGAACCAGGGGCCTGTAACCAAGAATACTCAAAGAGCAAGGCTCTCAATTAAAAAGGAAGGCCAAATAAGGAGTTTCCCAGACAAAAGAAGTCTAGAAGAATGCATCTCCACCAAACCAGCTCTGCAAAAGATGCTAAAAGCCTGCTTTAAGAAAAGGAAGGAAAAGAGTGATAGGGAGAGGAACACAGATACAAGACAATGGTAATGAATAAGTACCTATCAATAATAACCTTAAATGTAAATGGATGAAATGTGCCAATCAAAAGACGTAGAATATCTGAATAGATAAGAAATCAAGACCCAAACAAATGCTGTCTGCAAGGGACACACCTCAAGACAAAAGACCTACACAGACTGAAAGTGAAGGGCTGGAAACAAATATTCCAAACAAATGGAAAAGAAAAAAAAAAACAGGGTAGCAATACTCCTATCAAACAAAATAGACTTCAAAGAAAGAGCCATAAAGAGAGATCAAGAAGGTCACTTCATAATACCCAGGGGAAGAATCCAGAAAAAGACATAAATATTGTAAATACATATGCACCCAATATAGGAGCACTCAAATACATAAAGAAAATCTTACAGGACTTCAAAAAAGATATTGACAGCAACACAATAATACTAGGTGATTTTAACACCCTGCTGTCAAAAATGGAAAGATCTTCCAAACAAAATACCAGCAAAGATATTGTGGCATTGAACAATGCCCTAGATCAAATGGACTTAACTGATATACATAGGGCCCTTCATCCCAAAGAAACTAAATATTCATTCTTTACAAATGCACATGAAACATTTTCAAAGATAGACCCCATGATAGGACACAAAACAAGCCTCAACAAATTCAAGAAAATTGAAATCATACCAAGCATTTTATCTGGCCACAAGGGACTGAAGCTAGAAACCAACCCCAAGGAAAAAAACCCAAAACACTCAAAATCATGGAGATTAAATAGCATGCTACTGCACAATGAATGTGTCAAGAATGAAATTAGGGAAGAAATCAAAACATTTCTGGAAACCAATGAAAATGAACTCACAACAACCCAAAACTTATGGAACACAGGGAATGCAGTCCTGAGAGGGAAGTTCAGAGTGATACAGGTCTACCTAAAAAAGCTGCAAACATTTCAATAAACAACCTAACCCTACACCTACAAGAACTCAAGGAACTACAACAAAGACAGCCCAGAGCAAGTAGAAGGAAGGAAATAACCAAGATCAGAGCAGAATTAAATGACATGGAGACTAAAAGCAAAATTCTAAGGATCAATGAATCCAGGAGCTGGATTCTTAGAAAAAATAAACAAAATCAACAAGCCTTTAAGTAGGCTCATCAAGGAAAAAAGAGAAAGGACCCAAATAAACACAATCAGAAATGAAAGAGGAGAGATTACAACTGATACAACACAAATACAAAGGAGTGTAAGAAATTACTATGAAGAACTGTATGACAAGAAATTTGAATACCCAGGTGAAATAAACAAATTTCTAGAAAAATATAATCTTCAAAAACTCAATGAAGAAGAAGCAGAAAGCCTGAACAAACCAATAACAGCAGATGAAATTGAGGCAGTAATCAAAAAACTCCTGGCACACAAAAGCCCTGGAGTAGATGGTTTCACAGGAGAATTCCACAAAGCATTTAAGAAAGAGCTAACCCCTATCCTTCACAGGCTATTCCAAAAAATCCAAAGTGATGGAGGACTCCCAAACTCTTTTTATGAAGCCAGCATCATCCTAATCCCAAAACCAGATAAAGACCCAACAAAGAAAGAACACTTCAGGCCAATATCTCTGATGAACAGACACACTAAAATCCTCAACAAAATATTGGCAAACCACACCCAGCAATACATTTAAACATCATACACCATGACCCAGGGGGATTCATCCAAGGGATGCAAGGATGGTACAATATTAGCAAATCAGTAAATGTAGGACATCATATAAACAAAAGGAAATACAGAAATCACATGATCATATCAATATATGCGGGAAAAGCATGTAATTAGGTACAGCACCCATTTATCATAAAAACACTCAACCAAGTGGGAATAGAGTGAGCATTCCTCAACATAATAAAGGCCATATATAAGAGACCTACAGCCAACATCATACTCAATGGGCAAAAACTAAAATCTTTTCCACTAAGATCAGGAACAAGACAAGGTTGTACACTTTCACCACTTCTATTCACATAGTATTGAAAGTTTTATCCACAGAGATCAGACAAGAAAGAGAAATAAAAGGCATCCAAATTAGAAAGGAGGAAACAAGACTGTCATTGTCTGCAGATGACATAATAGTGTACATAGAAAATCCTATGGACTTCACCAAAAAAACTGCTTGATCTAATAAATGAATTTGGCAAAACAGCGGGATACAAAGTCAATATCCAGAAATTAAAAGCATTTTTGTATATCAACAATGAAAGATCAGAATCAGATCAAGAAAAAAATTCCATTTGATATAGCAAAAAGAAAAAATAAAATACCTAGCAATAAACCTAACCAAGGAGGTAAAAGACCTATGCTCAGAAAACTACACAACACTGAAGACAGAAATCAAAGGAGACACAAGCAAATGGAAACATATACCGTGTTCATGGATTGGAAGAATTAACATCCTCAAAATGTCCATATTACCCAAAGAAATTTACAGATTCAGCGCAACACCTATTAAAGTACCCATGGCATATTTCACAGACATAGAACAAACACTTTAAAAATTTATATGGAAGCATAAAGGACACCAAATAGCTGCTGCAATATTGAGAAAGAAGAGTAAAGTAGGAGGGATCACAATACCTGATATCAAACTGTATTACAAGACCGCTATAATCAAAGCAGCCTGGTATTGGCATAAAAACAAGACACATAGATCAATGGAACAGAACAGAGAGCCCAGAAATAAACCCAAGTTTCTATGGTCAATTGATATTTGACAAAGGGGGCAGCAACATAAAATGGAGTAAAAATAGCCTCTTCAACAAATGGTAATAGGAGAACTGGATAGCTACATGCAAAAAAAAAAAAATGAAACTCGAGCACCAACTTACACCACACACAAAAATGAATTCAAGGTGGAAAAAAGATTTAAATATAAGTCGTGACACCATTCAAGTTGTAGCAGAGAACACATGCAGAAAAATCTCAGATATTTCACACAGCAACATTTTCACTGATATGTCCCCTATAGCAAGGGACATAAAGGAAAGAATAAACTAATGGGATCTCATCAAATAAAAAGCTTCTGCACAGCTAAAGAAAACAGTATTAAAATAAAAAGAGAACCAACCATATGGGAAAACATATTTGCCAATGATACCTCAGACAAGGGTTTAATCTCCAAAATATATAAAGAACTTACACAACTCCACTCTAAGAAGACAAGCAACCCAATTATAAAATGGGCAAAGGACTTGAACAGACACTTCTCCAAGGAGGACATACAGAGGATCCAGAGACACATGAAAAGATGCTCAATATCACTAGCTATCAGAGAGATCCAAATTAAAACCACAGTGAGATACCACTTCACACCAGTCAGAATGGCCATCATAAACAAAGCAACAAACAGCAAGTGTTGGAGAGGTTGTGGAGAAAAGGGAACCCTATTGCACTGTTGGTGGGACTGCAGACTGGTGCAACCACTATGGAAAACAGTATGGAATTTTCTCAGGAAACTAAAAATGAAACTGCCTTTTGACCCAGCTATTCCACTGCTAGGATTATATCCTAAGAACCCTGAAACACCAATCCAAAAGAACCTATGCACCCCAATGTTCATAGCAGCACAATTTACAATAGCCAAGTGCTGGAAGCAACCTAAGTGCCCATCAGTAAATGAGTGGATCCAAAACCTGTGGTACATTTACACAATGGGATTCTATGCAGCAGAAAGAAAGAAGGAGCTCCTACCCTTTGTGACAGCATGGATGGAACTGGAAAGCATTATGCTAAGTGAAATAAGCCAGGCAGTGAAAGACAAATACCATATGATCTCACCTTTAATGGAAACCTAATCAACAAAACGAACAAGCAAGCAAAGTATAGCCAAAGACATTGAAATTGAGAACAGGCTGACAGTGACCAGAGGGGAAAGAGGAGGGAATTTCAGGGGGAAAGGGGAAGGGTTTGTAGGAACAAGTAGAAAGGACACATGAAAAAAAACTCGGGGGGAGTTGTTAATGGGAGGGAGGTGGGGTGGGCTGGGGCAGGTGTGCTGGGATAGGAGTAAAATACAGAAAACTACTTGAACAACAATTAAAATAAAATAAAATAATTTTTTTAAAGAAAAGATTAGCCCTGGCTGTCGTAGCTCAGTGGATTGAGTGCAGGCTGCGAACCAAAGTGTCAGGGTACATGCCTGAGTTGCAGGCCATGACCCCCAGGAACCGCACATTGATGTTTCTATCTCCCTCACTTCCCTCTCTAAAAATAAATAAATAAAATCTTCAGAAAAAAAACACACTTTAAAAAAAAAGAAAAGTTTAAACAGATAGGATTTGTCATTTTTAATAATGTGTCCTTTCACCCTCCTGGCTGATCTTCAGTCGTCCTGGCACTCTGGCAACTCGCGCAGGTGCAGAGCGACCTTCGGAGCTGTTGAGTGCCTGGCACCGGTACAGGAAGGCGTTGGCAGGCGCAGACAGGTTCCCAGTGCTTGGAGGGCGTGGCTCCCCACCGCCTGGGCTGTGAGGGCCAGTAGATGTCACCTCAGACGACCTGCCAGTGCCCTCCCTCCTGTACCCTCTGCTAGGCGCGGACCTTGCCCATATTAGGCAGTGTGGGTCAATCACGCCCGTCACCACCTGCCAGCTGCCTGCTTGCCCTGCGCCCTCGGCACTCCAGAGCGTCCTTGACAGCCACCAGGCCTGGCGGCCCCTGTGAACGGAAAGAGACCCTATCTCAAACTGAGGCAGCACTCCCCCCCTGTGAACGGAAAGAGACCCTATCTCAAACTGAGGCAGCACTCCCGTAAGTACAGAGTGATGGGGAAACGTGGGGCGTCTAGTCTTGTCTTAATGTAGCACTTCCCTTGAGTCACCCTGGGGCCAGCTCTTGCCAGCAGGGCTCAGCTTAACAGTACCCTCCTGATAGAGACCATCTCTACCCTGCTAAGACTCTCTGTGACATTATTCAGTTTGGTAGCCCTGGCATGGTGCTCTCATTTTCAGAATGACTTGATCATTTGCCTCCCTACTAGACTGTAAGCTCCAGAAAGGTAGAAGTACACCATGTCTCTGTTCCAAGTTGTCTTCCTAGCACCTTGCATAGTGCCTAGCACTTTAAAAAGCTTGAATAAACATGGAAAGTATCCCCAGGCAACTCTCTTAACTTTATTTTTTAAGATTTATTTATTTATTTTTAGAGAGGGAGGGAGAGACAGAGAAGGAAAGAGAGAGAAACATGGATGAGAGAGAGAAATATTAATTGGTTATAAGCACCCCCACTGGGGACCTGGATGCCCAACCAACTGAGTGAGCCACAAGGGTCAAGGCCACTCTCTTAAATTTAAAGCCAGGAATGTAATTGCCCTGCAATTCCCTCCCCCTCCACAAAACTAATAACCTACAATGCATCTTAAAGCTCTTTGCAAAGTGTAAAGCATGGTGAAAGACAAAACATTGTGAACTCAAAGGAAAGAAAAAAGAAGCATGCCTTATTTAGCTTCATCATCCATATACCTGGCCATTATTAAGCATCTGGAGTGAGGGATGATTATTACTATTAAATGAATCCGGCATCTGTCCATACTAGTGGGAGACTCAGAGTACATTTTAGGATTGTGCCTGTGTTCTGAGCCATTTTCTACCAGTGTCTGCACAAGATGGTAATGCTGAAGCAAATTAGCGTATGGGGATGTAATGGTAAAAACCAGGTTTCACAAACTTAAATGGCTGTAGGATAACTAAAGAAGCAGTGGTGAGAAACGCAACAGCATAGGGAGAATTATAAATGATAACTGGGGGCTGGGGAATATGTGAATAGACATGCCATCAGAGAGGTGGCAACTGGCTACTCAAGTCCTGCACATTGTTGTCACCATGGGAATTAAGGGCCCACTGTTACCATATTGTTCATTAGTTTCAATAGATGCTGGAATGTTTCAACTTTGCTTGTTGACAACTATTAATAACTTACAAAAAATAGAAAAGTCTGTGAGTAGCCAATGTGTGATCTCTGGCTTCAGTTATTCTCTAAGAATGGTAACCAAATTCCTAAAAGCACATGGTGACTGGGAATTAATTTTAAAAGTAGGAGTGAGAAGTGGGTGTCACAATGCATCAAGCTACAGGCAAGGAAATCAAGTTAATGATTCTGGGTGATTTATTTAATTTGGACAAAAAGATAGCAAATTAAATAATTGAGCACAACTTTTATATGTAGGAAAAAAATCTCCAATATAGTGGTTTATTAACATGTACAAAATGTAAAAGAAAAAAGTTATTATAAACTTGTAATTTAGGACTATGCAAAGCATTCACTTAATTGCAGAAAGCATATTGAACAATGTTAATGTGCCAAGCATCATTACAGACAGATATTAAGAATACAGAGATGATTAAGACATGAGCGTCCTACACTTAATGTCTTCATCATTGAAATGGGGGGGGCAGGCATATGCATAAATAAATTGCAACAACAGCAGTACAACCATTATAGCCAAGGTGCAGCAAGGAAAGGCAGAGAAGTCCTCAGTGAGGAAGTGGTATCTGAGCTGAATGTTGAAGAGTCATTTACATTTTTTCAGGTATAAAGTCATGTATGCATTGTTAGCAGTTCACCACTACTAAAAGATTGAAAAAGGAAGGAAGGAAGGATGAGGCAGGAAAGATCAGGAGGTGCCAGATTGTGAAGGGCCTCATAATGCCTGAATGAGGTGTAGTGTTGCTGAAAATGGGCTCAGGATAATTTTTTAAAATATGGAGTAGTGATTTTATACTTAAAAGTGTCAACCAATGTCCTTCCATGCCAACAAGAATCCCTAATTTAGTGCAAAATAGCTCAACTGTGACAAGCACAGCTGTGAAAACAACACAGCTGTGAGGCAGCCCTGAGGGCAGGCCCCTCTTTAGCCAGAGAGCTAGATTGCTCTGCACCTCAATTGTCTGCTCTCCTTTGCTCCTTGATGATCTACTTTTCACTGCTGCTGGTCTGCTCCATTTTGTGCCAGTCTGCTCTGGCTTGTACTGGTCTGCTTCACTCTGCTCCTGCAAGAGATCTTCAATGTTTCAGCTCAGCCAGGGAAATGAAGTGTTCTGTCTGCAGTGGAAAAGGAAAGTGATCTCTCAGAGCCAGAGGGGAGCTGGCTATATATAGACAAAAGCCCCTCCCACCCATCCCAAATTGGTCTGTCCTAACCCAAATAATTTTCAGTTTGATTGGTCCAAAAGACACTGTCCTGATTGGTTAAAATAGAGCTGTTCTGGTTGATCAGAGCTGTGCAGCTCCAATTGGATGGGGAAAGCTTCAGTCCTATTGGTTGAAATAAGATTCCAAGAACTCCTTTATAAGGGCTGGTTCAGATGGTGGAAACACAGTGTAGACAGGCAATTCAGGTTAGAGGCAGGCAATTCAATGCAGGCCTCTCTCTGAAATGGGGTTTGCATGAGAGGCCCCTGTGTAGAAAGGGCTGCTAGGCTCCAGTTTTGTTTTGTTTTGTTTTGTTTTGTTTTGTTTGTCCACTTAACCACCAGGAGGCCTTCTTAACAGGTGTCTTCTTTTTCAGGGTTTACAATAGCCACAAACTTACAGAAGGATTTTGTTTAAACATTGGAACTTGGACATGCTTTTCTGATATGTTGAAAATCATACTTTGGTTGGCTTCCTCAGCTTGCCAACCAAAGTCTTTGAAAGGGAATTTTAGACAGATTAGGATTTATGACCCTGTACAAGTCATTTCTGAGGTCTTCAATTTTTTCATTGATAAAATTCAAAGCTTTGTTGTTGATCAACTATCATTTCATATTATAACCTATCACCACACAGAACATTTCGATGAGGAAAAAAACACACTAATTCAGGAAATCCAGTAACTTCTTTTCCCACCAAAGCAGGAGCAGGAAGGAATTATTTCTGCCCCTCCCCCAAAACAGTTCTCATTCAGACTAGATAAGTAGGTTATAAGCTTTTGTATTTTCCAAACACATACATTGAACTACATACACCTTGACAACTTAAAAAGGAAGTTTATTATGTAGCACTCTGTATGTGTGTGTGTGTGTGTGTGTGTGTGTGTGTGTGTACGTACATGTACATACACATAGACATGTTTACAATGTGGGTTAGGTTTTCAAAAGGTATAAGGTATCCTGATGTTATAAATTTTTTTGTTTTAAACTCAGTTTACACAGTATTTAAGACATGCAAAAAAGCATAAAGAATAATTATGTATTGTGTACCCACCATACAGCTGGTGGAGTTAAAATTGAGTATGCAGTTAAAATTCCTTGTCACCCTTCTGCAATTGCATCCCCCTCCTTCCTTGCCTCCTGATAGGCAACCACTATCTTTAATTTCATGTTTATAATGACCCTTTATTTCCTTATATTCCACTACAGTTGTGTGTATCCTTAAAGAATATATACTTTTTTAACTTTTTATTTTGATATAATTTCAAGTTCACAGGAAAGTTCTAAGAATAATATAAAAAACTCCCATATACCCTTGACCAGATTCACCAATTGTGTCTATTTACTTTGTCAGGATTTATCATCTATGTTTACTCTATTAGAATATATAATATTGTTTTGGATATTTAAAACATAGTATCAATGGTATGCAGCAACTATCCCTCTACATTTTTTCACACATTATTATGTTTGTAAAATTCACCCATGTTGATACATGTAGCAGTAGTTAATTCTTTTTTATGCTGTGCAGTATTCTCTTGAGTAAATACACTATAGTCCGTCTGTTCTATTAATGGCTATTTAGGTTATTTCCAAGTTTTTGCTTTTTCAAACTGTCCTGCTATGAATTTAAACTACTTTTGACTTCAGCAAAATATGGAGGCATGGTCATATATCAATTGTTTTTTAGAAAAAGTAGTAATTTTAAAGATAATGTAAAGATTATAAAGTTAAACATTGTAAAGGCAAAACATTGGTAGTTTAAGTAAATGCCACAGTAAAATTTATAGTAGTGCAGTCTCAGAACTAACTATACTAGACACAAATATAATTGCATTTTGGATTTGCAAAGTAATTAGGCTTTATTCTTGTGATTCATATTTATCTTTGCTACTCATTTTTCTCCACTACTATGGGTAATATTACTATAAATGCACCAGTTCAGTCCTCTATAAAGTCAAACAGAGAATAACTACCCATCGATACCACTGAAAACATTTACACAATTTTGTTTTGCTGATGAAAGGAGAATGTCCTCTATGCCCCCATTAAAGGAAAAGTTACTCTCAATTCTCTTCTATGTATAACCTGTGTCTCTACCCATAAGCAATTTGAATATGGACACAAACATTATTATTATTTGAAAATTATTTGTATAGGTATCCTGCCTCAACTTTATCAAGCAAATTTTACCAAGCAAGTTACATATTGTGTACATGCATGGTCAGCTTTAATTTTCTCAATTATTCTTATATAATTAATAAAACTAATCTTAGGTAAGAAAATGGAAGAGACTAAGAAACTCGCTCATGTTACTAGATAGTAGAGCAAGGATTCAAATTCAGGCCTCAGTTACCCAAGCCAAAGCCTATGTATCTTTTTAAAAAATATATTTTATTTATTTATTTTCAGAAAGAGGGGAAGGGAAGGAGAAAGAGAGGGAGAGAAACATCAATTTGTGGTTGACTCTCATGTGCTCCCTACTGAGGACATGACTGGCAGGCTAGTCATGTGACCTGACTGGGAATCAAAATGGCCACCCTTTGGATTGCAGACCCAGTCTCAATCCACTGAACCACACCAGCCAGGGCCAAAGCCTATGTTTCTAATTTCTGCTCTACA